TTTTCAACTTTAAGGCATAAATGAAGAGGACTAAACTTGTGGAGAATCAAATTCTAAACAATTTTGGTTACTACGTTTTTGTTCAAAAAATCGATATTTTGGGAATTAAACCTGAAAAACGCGACAAATTCAAAAGATTATCATTATCTCCAATGCTTCGCATTTTACGGCATAAATGAAGAGGTTATTCCGCGCTGGTAGCTTGTCTGTCATGTCGGTGTGAAAAAATGGTTCCGGAACAATTTTTTTTACCAAATTTGTCCAAAATTTGATTCTCTACAAGTTTGTTTCTTCTCATTTATGGTGTAAAGTTGAGAATAAACGAGATAATGATGATATATTTCGAATGAGTCGTTTTTTTTTAGGTCTAATCCCGAAAATATCGATTTTCGGAAAAACAGGTGAAGACAAAATTTGTCCAAAATTTGATTCTCTACAAGTTTAATCCTGTTCATTTATGCCGTAAAGTTGGAAATAAACGAGCTAATGAAAATATTTCGAATTTGTCGCTTTTTTCAGGTTTAATTTACAAAATATCGATCCTATCAGAAAAATTGTAAGGACCGAACTTGTAGAGAACTAAATTTACTACAATTTTTGTCCCCAAACATACGCAGAAGCTTGATTTGGTCGCCATTTTGAATTTACACTCCCAGTGACCCCCCCCCCGAGACACCTGAAAAAAAAACACTAAAAAATTATTCACGGGTAAGGTCCGTTATTTGGATATAATGACTGGACTAATACCCAAGTAGTCGTATTGCTCTCAGAATAATTCCATGAAGATGTCCACATTGGGATTTTTTTAAGTCTCATTCAATTTCAATATGAAATAAACCTTACCGTACCTTCCTTATATTGCTCAATCTGGAAGTTTGAAGATTGGGAAGTAGCATTTTTGAAATTTCATATACAGTGTGTCCCGCTTTTCATGAATACACCCAGTTATTATTGATGTTATTTCATCGAAATTTTGGTGGTGATTGTATATGTTGGAACAATGCAGTATTCAACAGATCGAACAGTTTCATTCACCATTGGCGTGCGATGTTGAGGGGCACAAAAATGCAAAATGCCTTTATTCGGGAAAAGGACGTTAGGGTTACTTTTTCTATCAGAATCAATTTTCAAAATCTCATTAGCTGGAAAAATATTTCAAAATCCTGCTATTCATGACTACACCCTTGAATCTCATTTATGAATTATGAGATTCTCTTGGAATTTTGATGGTGATTGTATGATAGAAAAATAACTTACAATCACCATCAATTTCGAGAAAATCGCATCAAAAATAACTGAGATTTTGGAGCGTCCCTAATAACACAAGATGTCCATTGGATATCTGTATTGTGTCTATTATATGTCCAAGGTGTCCATGGATACATTCTGGACAACAATATGAAGATTCCCAATGGATGTCCAGGTAAAGTAATCCATATGGTGTCCATGGACATCATCGGTACAACAATAGGATTTCCACATAAAGATATCCTTCGGATGTCCAGGTTAAGTTATCCATATGGTGTCCATTCGGATGCCCCCTATAATAATGTTACTTAACTTAACTAAACAACTTAACCGTCTCGGGTATCATCGACGTCGTTCGACTCCTTCGGTGACCACAGGCCGACAGGGTCAACCGTGTCAGAGTAGTAATGCCGTCCGCCATTGTTATTGCTGTTAACGTCGATGCATTGTCTGAGGCTACTGATACTGATAAACTCATCATTTTCAGATATATGTATGTATAGCGTCTTGAAGATTTTTCATGTGTTGTAATGAGTGACATTACTTTAATAATCTATTCCTCAATATGTGTCTGTGTGAATGGCGTCGACACTCGCTTGTGTTTTATCGTAATGCCATTTCGGTCGGAGAATATATAGATCACTTGAAGTGAAGAGCCAATCCAGGATGTGTTGATGATGATGTCGAAGAATTTCAACTAGAAGAACGGATCTGAAATTGAGTACCTATTGTGTCAAGTCAACCAAACTGAAATGGTGAAAGGAGGTGTCAATAGAAACAACATATCACACCAATCTGAAATAAAATATTATAGTATCTATAGTGTTCGCTTGAATATACCCACATTTGAAAAACATATAACAACCAGAAACATGGTTGTCCAAGACAGATACCATATGGTTGTCCAAGACAGATACCATATGGATGTTCAAGACAGATACCATGTGGATGTCCTTGACGGATACCATATAGATGTCTAGGACGGATACCATTTGGATAGCTAAAAAGTTGGAAACGCGATATCCTATGGATGTCCATACGTCATCCAGTATACACAAACTGGATGTCCTATGGATGTCCGAGATGTCCAGAGGAGGATGACCATAGGATGTCCATTGGATCGAGTTGTGTTATTAGGGGTAATTATAGTCATGATGAGCGGGAACTTGAATTTTTCCTGAGATTTCGGAAATATATGAATTGGGTTGTTTTTGTGGATGCTCATTATGAATCTGATATAAAAGGTTATTCCAAATAAGCCCTTATTATATCCTTTTCTCGAACGAAAGTATTTTCTTGTACCCCTAACATTGCACGCCAATGGTGAATGAAACTGTTCACTCTCCTAAATACTTCATTGTTCTAACATACAATCACCACCAGAATTTCAAGAATATCGCATCATTAATAAGTGATTCAGATATTAGGGTGTATTCATGAAAAGCGGGACACACTGTATATAGGATCTCCAGTTACTTTACTAATTCCTGAAAATATTCACAATTACCACAGATAGCAACTCCTTCGTGAATGACCCTTCACCAAAATTATATTTGATATACTTTAGAGATCGTTTCTGATCATAAAACATTTTCTGAAATGGGTTTCAAGATCACAAGAATACTAAAAACATTTCGAACTAATTGTTAACTTGAGTGTAGTTATGAGCATCACACATGAATGTGAATAATGCTGATGCTGATGGAAAAATGAAAAAAAAATGTTTTTATTTTTTCTGTTATATTGGAAAAAGTAGATTTCTGGAGAATCTATTGAATTTTTTTCTACCTCATTATTAGAGATGCAGAAAATCTGAGAAAACTTTTCCACAGCAACTTTTGATGAGATTCAATGTGGTGATATTGATTTCCCTACGCGACGTTTCGTATTCGTAGAACCGTCATCAACTTTTCTTTCCAAATACGGTCCTGATTATGTGTCCACAGATTCATCAAAGCATTTCTGATCCTGAACTCAACCATGTATTCATTATTTATTCAATGCAGCGCTTCAAATATTGTTTCATGTTGTTGGATTCTTACACGAATTACCTGGATAACTATACTTCGACAACACGAACAATATTATTTGAGAAGATTAACATGCATAACAAATTTCCAAAATTATAACGATTATTTTTCAAACGAATATATCCTCTTCTCATAGTTACTTCTGAGACATTTGTAAGCATTTCTGGGGTAATAGTATTGAATGCCCTGATAAAAATATCCCTTAGTGAATAATAATAAGTAAGTTCATTCATGAACATACATATGCAATACAGTATTCATCTTCTCCGTTATCAAGATGATTTGCCTGAACAAATATTTTGACGCATTACCAAAGAAAAAAATCCAGCGATGTCCAATCAGGCGATCGCGCTGGCCAAGGGACCATAAAATTAGTTCAGTATTTAGATCTATGAGTTCAGTTATCAAGGTTATTCGTGTGAGAATAAGAATTCATCAACAAGAAACAATTTGATACGCTGCATTGAATGATTTATGGATTAGTTTTATTCATTTTCAGTATTAAATACCTACTCCATCAATTTTTGACCCTGAATGATCTGAAATAAGTGGATCTGATATGGTATCTCCTTTTTGAAATTTCTAAAAAACATTGAAGATGGTTTGAACTAGGTCGGAACACATTCAAACCACCTTGTATGAAACATGGTTGAATTCAGAATGAAAACCGTTCTCAGAATATGTGAACACATAATCAGAACCGCGATTAAAAAAAAGTCACCACTTCAAATCTCATCAATTGTTGCCATAGCAATAAATACAATAAAGGCGCTAACACCATCCAACCGCGACATGTTCTTTGAATCTGACTGTACAGGGATAGTTTTATTAATGTCAACCCCTCTTTATCTTCTCTGTTTTTCACTGATTCGAAAGAATTTGAAGCTGATTTTAAACAATTTTCCATACAGATTCTACTCATATTCACAATGATGCAGTATCTCTTCAGATATACAGGGTATAAAGATGAATATACTTTTTTTCAGATGGAATGCGCCGTATATTTTGATTTCCCCAATCCATCCTGATTTCAAACATATATGATATACGACATTCATATCTATCAAAATATACATCGCATTCCATTCAAAAAAAAAGTAATTCACGTAACAAGTCCGGAAAATACTGTTTTTTTGGACGAGTATAGACAAAATTCTAGGTCGAGCCGTAGGCGAGTCCTGGGAGTCTGCGAGTCCAAAAGAACTGTTTTTGGACGTGTTGCGTATACTATTTTTTCGGCAACCATGTAGAATTACGAATCAATGAGACACATTTTCATATTATATTTCTTTGTAGACTACAATTTCTCCTTTATCAATACTCATTTATATCAAATACTGAAAGATGAACAGAATATCTATATCTACTAACTGTTACATTGGAAATTTCGTATGGACATTTTCAAACTCACTATCGCAGCTGCTTTCGATAGTTTATTGCGATAATTGCAACCAAACTTTCAAAAATCAAAATATCAACTAATTTTATGTCAACAACGATGTGATACTTTCCGGACTAGTCCGGGAAGTACGTACTTCCTGGACTATATATTTCTGTACCCTGTATATTTCAAGAGATATTGCAACACTGTCACTATGATTGGAACCTGTATGAAATATAATTGTTTGAATTCAGTTCTGAAATTCTTTGGATAGGTGCAAAAAGATAAAATGCTTCGAAGAACCAAACTGAAATAAGTTCAACTCAATCAATTTTTGAGGGCTATTTTATTGCTATTGAAAATAGTCGAGATCTTTACACAACCACCTCCATAATACGATTGATATAATGAAAACTGTAACTAATCATGTTAGTAGAATTTACCAAATTTCCAATGAAAAAGCGACTGGGGTTTCCTAATTCTCTTTCCAGGAATATAATAACTGATACAGTTGGCGTGGATGTCGATTCTGTTCATAGGTCGATATTTTGGACAAAAATTTTGTTTCATGGAAGATGATGTATTTTACAGAAAGTCTAATAGATCATATTAAACTAGATGTAGGTACCGGATACAATCTGCGCGAAAAATTTCACAATTTTTCCATCTTATTGGAGCTTAGGTTCTACTTTCCTAATTCTCTGATAATTTGTGGAGTTGGTTTGGAGCTGGTTTGTATACTCTCTTTCATAGGGTCTTTCAGAATATCTTCGATTCCACCACCTATTGTATTTTCCTTATCTTTGGCAGGTTTTGTCAGAACCTTGTCTATCAAACCAAATATTTGTGCTTCCTTCGGAGTCATGAAGTTATCCCGTTCTAAACTGTCTTCTACTTTCTCGATAGTTTGTCCAGTATGTTTCTCATAGAGGTGATTTATTTGCTTCTTGAGCTTGAGAATTTCTTCGGCCTGTATCTTGATGTCAGTAGCTTGACCAGTGACACCTCCAGATGGTTGATGTATCATGATTCTCGCATTTGGCAGTGAGTTCCTCATACCTTTGGTACCTGTGGAGGATATAACTATTCGAGGAAGGTTGAACATAATTATTATATCAAGAAAAAAATACGATAACCTTTTTAATAGCTATATGAACAAGCTGTCCCATCTTCTATGTCCTTACAGGATATCTCACTTATTTTCAAAGATGGAGTATTGCGGTTTCGGCGAACGTTGGCTACTTTTATTTGGAACTCACGATACCGCAAACATGATTTTCTTGCCTCGTTCTTGAGATACAGGGCGAAATTGAAAAAGTTGCATTTTGGGACCCCACTTGTATCTCAGCTATTTATCAACTTATCGAAAAGGTGAAAACTGTTGCTCATACATTTTCTTACGTAGAATCCAGTGGCATAGTCAGATTTTCAGAATAAACTGTATTTATTCTTAAAATAAAACACCCTGTATATTCTTTTTATATTTGAAATATTGATGCTCTGTGCTTTCTGAGAATTAGTATCAATTGAGGAATTTCAGGTATCTGCCATGAATTTGGATAATTTCTAGTTTTTCAGTAGATATTTCATCGATGGGCTCCGTAAATATGTGGCAACATTGTCCATATCACAAATTTCCATATTTACCTTGTTGCTGATACAGTGTTTCATCACACACTAGTTTTTATTTCATCAACATTCAAGCGAGTGAATGTTAAATCTTTGTCACCTACCTGTCAAATTTTCAAAATGTTCATACAACGGCAAAAGATAATCCAGGATATCAAAACTAAGAAATTCAAGAACAAACTTTTATTCCATCAACCTCGAATTTTTGGTAGTTTCTATATCTAGGATGAGTATTCATCATCATATGAAAAATTTATATATTCGACAAGTAGGTGACAAGGATTGAGTAACATTCTATACACTTTTTTTTGGGAGGCTTCTTGGGTTTTGGATCCGTTTGTAGAATTGAAATAGTAGGAATTTATAAAGACGTTGAGCCCATGGCCTTTGTCAATTTATTACAAGGACATGATGTTGAACAGTGGAGTCTAGCTGTGGATTAAATCCAAGAAGCCTGAAAAAAAATAAGATGAGCAGGATTCAAGAACTCCCCTCTCCAAAGTAATTCTATACACTCGCTTTTTTGTCATAGTAACCTACTAATAAGGTCCATGCACAGCCATTATAGTCAATAAATAGTGCTGAATATTTGTAAATGTTGAATGTTGTTAAAATTGAAACTACTGTATGACGAAAAATTTTTTCAGCAGCATGGTGAATGTGAAAATTTGTGTTGCCACATAGTTAATAGGCCCATAGGTGAAAAATCCGATGAAGAACTACAAACCATCTGATTTCATGGCTTATACGCAACATTTCCAATTTCGCCCTGTATCTCAAAAGCAGAGCGTTCAAATTTGGTTAAATGGGAGAAGAGTTGTGCGAACCAAGGATCAACAAAAAATCTCTGATATGACTTCATGTTCCTGATTTATTTTCAAAAAACTGAATTTACGAATTCCCAATATTTTTTTTCTGTTGTTGATAATGAAGGTATAACAACGTTCCGTCTTTGAGCAACCATCCCCAACTTAATTTTTCCAAATTCGTTTCCTGGATGTTTCGAAAGCTTCGCAGAGTATGGCATAACGGCCTCATCGCCAAGATGATAGACCTAGGATACCCAATATTTCTGGTTGAAATCATCGACTCCTACATCCGAGAGAGCAAGCTCTGATGGATGAAGGTTGCACACGAAAAGTCAACAACACGATTTACTGAAGCCAGAGTCCCCCAAGGAGCTGTTCTAAGTCCGATGCTATATTCCATATACAGTGTGACCCATTTAAGATGGAAGCACCCTTATAAAACTTACATTTTTCAACCGATTGGAATGATTTTTTTTGTTAGGTAGATATTCAAAAAGTCTATTAGGACACCAAATATCATGAATAAATCTCCATTTCCAGGGCCAACTAATCTGATTTTTCAAGGTCGAAAATCTAAAAAAATTACTAGCGATTTTTTTAGAAAAAATCTGACTACACCATTGGATTTGTGACATTTTCAAATGGGTAACATGTAAATTACGTTGAAATGCGTCAATCAATAAAAAAGTTATAAAGGAATGAAATTTGAAAAATATGCCGTTTAATCAACCCACCAATTCATGTTCAGGAATTTTATGAAAATTCTGTATACTCCACTGGATTCAGGATGTCTTGAAATATTACTGATCACAGTTTCATCGAAATCTGTTCAGTAATAAAAATTGATGGGTTGATTAAACGGCATATTTTTCAAATTTCATTCCTTTATAACTTTTTTATTGATTGACGCATTTCAACGTAATTTACATGTTACCCATTTGAAAATGTCACAAATCCAGTGGTGTAGTCAGATTTTTTCTAAAAAAATCGCTGGTAATTTTTTTAGATTTTTGACCTTGAAAAATCAGATTAGTTGGCCCTGGAAATGGAGATTTATTCATGATATTTGGTGTCCTAATAGACTTTTTGAATATCTACCTAACAAAAAAAAATCATTACAATCGGTTGAAAAATGTAAGTTTTATAAGGGTGCTTCCATCTTAAATGGGTCACACTGTAGACATCAGACAACCCCAAGACGGACAACAGCTGCCTGTCACTCTACGCTGATGATACCGCAATAGCGGCCAAATCACTCAGACCTGAGTTATTAACCCGTCACCTGCAACGAGCCAAACATCAACTGAGCGACGACGAAGACGAGTAAGTAAGCCTCATACGATTGTTTCCTATTCAGGTCCTTGAAGCAATAATCTCCAATAACATAGCGTTCATGGGAGACCAATTGCAAAACTTCGAAGTAGGACACCTGCTCAACAAGCTCCTCCTGATGACATATAACACCACCAAGACTACACCATGGAAATTGTGGATCGCATTCCCATTGCGAACCAACAAACAGAACTACACAGCACTGAAAGCTCCCGAGCTGTGCTACCTACTAAGCCAGAAATTGCGCGATCGCAGGAGATCGTAACGTCTGACTTATCCACACAAACCATACTTAGGTATGGTACGAAAAAGACGAACGTTATGAGGACTACTCCAGGAGGAGTAGGGGTTGGTTGGCAAGTTTCAAGGGGCACTCATCCAGTGAAACAGAGAGAGAAGAGAGAGAGAGAGAGAGAGAGAAGAGAAGAGAGAGAAACATAAGTGTTTTTCGAAATGTTAACCTCATGGAGAAAGATACCAGGAGACCAACAATATCAGGATTCTTTTCATCCCTTGAAGCATCCGAAAGGAAATTCCTATAATGTTCGTGAAAGATCGTGCGTATCTAGGGAGGGTAGGGAGAGGAGGTAGGTGTTGGATTATTTTCTTAACTTTTGCAGGATATAAGTTCTTGGGGATACTTCCACTGGAAAGTATCCCAAAGCTTCGCCGTTCTATAGATAAACGTGTTTTGTTAGAGTGATGTTCGGCATATTTCAAGGTTAACGACGAATGGATGTGCTGACTCTTGGACTCTTGAGTTCGACTGACTGGTATTGCTAGTGATGGAATTATAGCAGATAATTATGACGAAAATTTTCCGACTTTTCTACGGCATTCTGATGAGGTCAAAGACTTAGTGAGTGTGGCATCAGGCGAATGACTCTTCTCTGCATAGAATCTAGAATCTAGAGCATCAGCGTATGTTTTGATGCTGAACCCCATACATGAGAACAGTATCCTACAACTGGCCGTATCTGTGCCTTGTAGATCATGAGGAGCTGTTGATGTGTTAGGTTGATTTTCGCACGGAACAAGAATCCGAGTTTTTCTGAAGCAGCTTCTGCTATGGACCGGACATGATTTTTCAAGGAGAGTACTGCTGAATTGCTTATGGTTATACCGAGCATAGATATAGTGGTCTTGGTGGGAATTGTGTAACCAGACATTTGTAATATCAGGCATATTGTTTCCCGCTTTTCTAGAGAAAATACACGCTTAAGTCTTGGAAGCGCCGAATTCAACTAGGTTGTTAGTTCATTCATCCATAATAACATAATTATGTGCTTTTCATTCTCAACAGTGACTACCATCATGAGTAACCATAACCATAGATTAATTAAGCTATGCCATAACTATAAAATAGGACTTGACACTTGACAGTTGCAGATTGGCTCACACTTATGTGCGGGCTATTTGAATAGATTAGTACAGACCAATCAGAACCATGGAACTTCATTGTTGATAACTAGCGTCTAGAGACAAGATACTACAATCAATCATTGCGGTGGGGAAATGCTACAGTGGAAGCAAGTTAATGAATAATCTGCAATGTAAGTGTTTGGGATCACACGTTAAAAGGCAAAGCCCCAGTCATTCCTTGCTCGCACAAGACTTTCGAAGACTTTTGAGGGTTGCTCGTAAGGGGACAACCGAATGACGGATAGAACAAATTTTAGAACAAAACAAATTTTTAGTATGATTCATTTCACAACTGAAAAGTGGAAATGGCATATATAATACCTGATGGTGAGATTGACTGATATGTGATTGCACGACTTTTGGTAATTAAAGTTAGATCCAATATTGTTTATCATATTTTCACAATCAAATCTATCAAATATCAAAGTTGTGAGCTGTTCGTTGATTTAAATTTCTGTCAATGAGTTTTCGATGAAATCAATGAGTATTTCAAATCAGATTCAGTGATTTTGCAATATAATAACCTTCATTATTTTCAAAGATATATTTCTGAACTCTCAGAGTTGCTTTGATATTTGAAAAGTTGTAGATAGAGTATAGTGTTCTACTCGCACATAGTGACTATTACCCACTCAGATAATTACAGCACTCGCCTTCGGCTCGTACTGCAACTTTCATCTTCGTGGATAATAGCTATCAAAATGCGCTCGTTGAATAATATACTAATACATTGATCTCCATAATGGACTGATGGTGTGTATAAGATGAAGGTCAGAAAGTGTCTCACCAATTTCAATGGAACAAGGTGATGACTTTGTGCCTTCTTCAACCAATATTTGAAAATATCACATACCTACCTGCTGCTAATAACAACGACGCCATACTACAAGCTTGTCCAACACACCAGGTCGAAATCGGAGGCATAACGTACTGCATGGTATCGTATATTCCCAATCCAGAAGTTATCACACCACCAGGTGAATTTATATACATATGGATGGGCCTGGTAGCAGATTCTGCTTGCAGGAACAGCAACTGAGCGATGACCAGAGAACTCGTGACGTCATTGATGGGGCCCATGAGGCAGATGATCCTCTCTTTCAGGAGTCTCGAGAAGATGTCGAAAGCTCTCTCGCCCTTTCCCGATTGTTCGACTACTATGGGAACGTGGTGGAAAGAGGGTATGTTAGCCATGGTGGAGGAGCCTGAGAATGCCTTTGCTATGACGGATTTCTGAAGACCGGAAAATGAGCGTTCGAGGAACATTTTCAATCACTTGTAATTTCTATATTGGCAGTATTCAGTCAAACTGACATGGGTCTGTTTTGACAGAATCTTCTCCCAGATAACATAATTACCGAAAGTAGAGTTCCTTAATGTACTTGACACTGCTGTTTTCAGGTTCTTGTATATTCAGAGTACGGAAATTATTAGCGAATTTCATTGACAGAAACTGGTCGAGTGTTTCTGCACTCAATGTATATGTTTCCTTCTTACTCGCATGTGTTAAACAGAGGTATGTAAATATATACTCAGTGAAGATACACTCCATCAGTTCCTGACATGTTGAGTAGGGTTCTTGAGAGAAAGCAAGTTCTGAATTGTGGCAATGATTCAATAACAAAAAGCATACCAATACACCGTACACACGGTAATGTAATATAGAGATGATGATACAGACTGTCAATCGTGACAACGTTGACTAATATGATCATCGTATAGGGTGATCTTGTAGTTAACACATCTACAGAGAGAACTCCATAATCTACGAAATTATTTGTTTCAACATGACAGTCATACATAACCACGAATAAATTGATGGTGAAAGCAAGAACTGACAGTACACGAACGTTCATGATATATTATGAGAAATTGAATCATTTGTAAACCATTTCTTCAAAGTTAAAATTCCGATAAATCTGAAATTGTGCGTAGTTGAGAAGTGCGGGACCGCTACAGTGCTGTAACTTCTGAAACATTTGAGATCAGATTTTGGAAATTGGTGGGTAGCAAGTATACCAAATTGCTAAATATTTGAGAAACCAATTATCACTTCCGGTTTCACCGGAAACGACCCTAACTTCTGATTTTTATATAGGACACCTTGTATTACATTCTATAATCGATTAGAAATTATCATAACGAATTCAACGATACCGGATTTGATAGGCTTACTTCAAACGATTACGGAGATATTCGCGTTCTAAGTTTCCACATGCTCAATGGGCGTGACTTCGCAATATCGAAACTTCTTTCTCTGTCCCACTTATTGAGCAAATGGAAACTTAGTACGCGAATATCTTCTAAGTCGTTTGAATTAATCCCTAACCGATTATGAAATGAAATGCAGGGTGTTCCATTGAAAAATCAGAAGCTAGGGTCGTTTCTGGTGAGATCGGAAGTGATTGAACAAAAATTGTTGTCAATTAATGAACAATCTGCAATCTATATACTTGCTACCCACCAATTTTCGAAATCCGATCTAGAATGATTCAGAAGATACAGCACTGGCCGTTTATTGTGTACTTCTCTGTATATGTTTTTTATTTCCAACTTTCCAGTTTTTTTATCAACAAGTGATGTTTTTAATTTTTTTATCTGTCATTGATCATTCCAGAACACGTGATTTTGACATGGTCTCTTGAGGGGCACACAAACTATCTGTTAGGTTACCTTTGATGAGCATAGCCCTGGCCATCCCTGCCACATCCACAATATGATAATAGTTTCATCAAACAAAATTATGGAATTCTTTCTGGTTCCAACTCGGATTACAAGGAGAACGATCCCACTTATTCTGGTTTCATATGAACAAAATACAATGTTTGCCCCTCAGCAACCTGTCAAATGACGTAATTCTGGAATGATTAATAAGTTTTTGACGCAGACGGACTGGTTGAGTGGTTCATTGACAACTCTTAAGGCAGAGTAATTTTAATTGTTTGATACTGTAGCCTCAGGCATATTGTATCCTGACTTTCTATTGTATCCTTACTTTCTTGGAATTTTTGTTGAACTTGGCATGGAGAATTCTGAACCTTTGCCGTTCTATAGATGGTTTTTAACAAACGGATGTGCTGACTACTCTTGTCGAGTTCGACTGACTTTTATTGCTAGTGATGTTATTATTGCAGAGATTTCTGAAGGACATTTTCCGTGGAAGTACCTATCGATAAAAGAAGTGGAAGGTCGCCGACTTTTCTACATTGTTCAAATGAGGTCATGGTCAAAGGATTAGTGAGTGATAATAGAAAGGACTCTGGTGTGATCCGATTCAGAAGGAAGAAGGATCATTGCCTATAACAGCGATGTGACTATCGTTGGTGTGATAAACAATATGAACAGAGGACCTTGGATAGTTCAGACCAGACGGAGGAGTAGGTATATTCAATTAGTCCCTCATCATGCTTGACATCCAGTTTCCTAAAGCGAGAGGAGAATGAATTTGGCTCACGTAATGAACCCGTCTAGCGTTTGTGCACATCATTTTTGAAGTGAGTTCTCTAGATGGAAAACCAGATAGGTCGAAATAATGGTATAATGGTTCTCGAATTTAGTAAAGCGAGATGCGAATTAATTCGCCCCACATGACGAAACCTTCTAGCGTTCGTGCACAATTTTTTCTGAGTGAGTCCTCTAGAACAAAAATCAGAAGGCCGAAATAGTGTTATGTGGTTCTAGCTAGAATGCCTGGATTGCTTAGATCGGCAGGGGTCTGTAATGTTGATCTTTTAGACCCATCATCACACCATATATTTCCCAAGCCCGGACTCGGAATTTGAATCTTCACGTATGAATCTCAGTGGTTCTTCCTACACCCTTATTGCGTATTCTGAATTGTAATCAAAAGGGTTCTATGCCCAAGCGAAATTGTTTTCGAATGTTGTATGACGTTTTTGACGCAGACGGACTGGTTGAGTGATTTGTTGCCAACTCTCAAGGCAGGATGATTCTAGTTGTTTGATACTGTAGCCTCAGGCATATTATATCCTTACTTCCTTCGAATTTAAGTTGAACTCTTGGAGGTTACATAGTAGTTAGAAATACTTCGATTGGCAGAGAATTCTGAGGCTTTGCCGTTCTATAGACGAACGAGTATTAGCACAGTGTTATTCTACATATTTGAGGGTTGCCAACGAAAGGATGTGCTGACTGCTCTTGTCGAGTTCGTCTGACTTTTATTGCTAGTGATGGAATGATTGCAGAGATTTCCGAAGAACATTTTTTGTGGAAGTACCGATCAATAAAGGAGTGGAAGGTCGCCGACTTTTCTACGGTGTTCAAATGATGTCGAAGCAAATATTACTGGTCAAAGGATTAATGAGTAATAATAGAAAGGACACTGGTGCGATCTGATTCAGAAGATAGGAGGATCCTTGCCTATTATCACGATAAAAGGGCTGTTTCCATCATGTCATGATGAGATAGATGGTTAGTCCATCCATATCGATTTATAAGGAGTAATACTTGGCTTAATAGTTTGCGAGAGGTAATATTCGAATAGGCACTGATAGTTTAGCGGTAACCGGAAGTACGTTACTATATTCAAACATATAACGATATTTATTGAAGCATGAAATATTACGAGCAGTGATGATAAATATAAAAGAATAACAATGGATACATCAGAGACATAATAACAACTTTCATTATGATGACCATATTGACGAGTTCTTGTCAAGTCAAGAGTAGCTCCAGACCAGAATAACTTCGGAACCCTCACATCCAATATTTATATACATCATTTTATCAGACTTGCACGTTTCTCATGAGAGTTCCTCGGTCAGTTTTCATAGTTCAATGTCAACGGATGATTTGATTAACTTCATGTTCATAAAACCTCATGGTTCGAAATTACTAATATGTTCTACTCTTGACACAATTATGCTCCATAACAGCGATGTGAGTATCGTTGGTGTGATATACAATATAAACAGAGGACCGTGGATAGTTCAGACCAGACGGAGGAGTAGGTATTCAATTAGTCCCTCATCTCGCATCATGCTCATTCGCATCCTCCCTGACATCCAGTTCCCTTAAGCGGGAGGATAATGAATTTGCCTCACGTAACGAAACCGTCTAGCGTTCGTGCACAATTTTTTCTGAGTGAGTCCTATGGAACAGAAATCACAAAGGTCGAAATATTGTTATGTGGTTCTAACTAGAGGATGCATGGATTGCTTGGATCGGCAGGGGTCTGAAATGTTGATCATCATCCTATATGTTTCCCAAGCCCGGATCTTCTCGTCTGAATCTCATTGGTTCTTCTTACACCCATATTGTTCATTCCGAACTGTATCCAAAGGGTTCTATGACCAAGGGATCTTATTTTGGAATGTTTAATGACGTTTTTAACGCAGACGGACTGGTTGAGTGGTTCATTGACAACTCTTAAGCCAGGGTAATTCTAGTTTTGTTTGATACTGCAGCCTCAGGCATATTGTATCCTTACTTTCTCAGAATTTTTGTTGAACTCTTGGAGGTTATAAAGTACTTTGGAATACTTCGATTGGCAGAGATTTCTGAAGCTTTGCCGTTCTATAGACGAGCGAGTATTGGTGTTATTCTACATATTCCAAGGTTGTCAACGAAAGGACTCTTGTCGATTTCGTCTGACTCTTATTGCTAGTGATGGAATGATTGTAGAGATCTCTGAAGAACATTTTCCGTGGATGTACCTATCAATAGAAAAATGGAAGGTCACCGACTTTTCGACGCTGTTCAAATGAGGTCAAAGAATTGGGGAGCGATCATAGGAAAGACTCTGGTTCGATCCGATTCAGAAGAAGAAAGGATCCTTGCCTATTATGCTCATTCGCATCCTCCCTGACATCCTGTTTCCTAAAGCGAGAGGAGAATGAATTCGGCTCACGTAAAGAACCCGTCTAGCGTTTGTGCACATAGTTTTGGAAGAAAATCCTGTAGATGGAAAACCAGATAGGTCGAAATAATGGTATTATGGTTCTCCAGTTTAGTAAAGCGAGATTCGAATTAATTGGCCTCACATGACGAAACCTTCTAGCGTTCGTTACAATTTTTTCTGAGTGAGTACTCTGAAAGAGATATCGAAAGGTTGAAATAGTGTTATAGTGTTATAATAGTGTGTATAGAAAGCCTGGATTGCTTAGATCGCCAGGAGTCTGAGGTGTTGATCTTTTAGACTCATCATCACACTTTATATTTCCCAAGCCCGGACTCGGAATTTGAATCTTCTCGTCTGAATCTCATTGGTTCTTTTTACATTCGTGCTCATTCTGAATCCAGAGGGTTCCGTGTCCAAGGGATCTTGTTTTGGAATGTTCTATGACGTTTTTGACGCAGACGGACTGGTTATGTGGTTCATTGACAA